GAAGGTGCATGAAGAAAGCTCCTTACTTTCCTCTCACGTCCCGTCCTGGTTGTTAACCATAGGCTGGGGGACGATTCTGGGCATCCTCATCATTCCAAGCAGCTCAGAAGGCACCTGGTGCCCAGGGCTGAGGTCCGAGCCACGGTCAGGAGCTTTTCCTGCGACACCCTGGTTCTGGTTCTTCCTCCTAACCTTCCCCCTGAAACGACCACACCACCCACCAGCTTCCTTCCTGTCTTGGCTGATCACATTGAACCCAGGCTCATAAGAGAGGGACACTTCAGCCAGAAGGTGGGGGAAGACAACCACCTGTTAGGAGGTGTGGGTTGCAGGGACCATTTCAAGCCTCCCTCCGTAACCTGTGGTACTCCACAGCTCCAAGGCAGGTCTTCACCCTGGTCCTGGAGACAGCCCCGGACAAGCGTGGCCAGTTTCTCACACAGCATGAGCCACCGACCAGGACCCCAGCCCTGCTGTGTCCTTCCCTCTACTGGCCGGGGTTCCTCACTTTTATGCACAGGGCTCCTGTGAATGCTGAGTTGCTGGAATGTTCTAGGTTGAGAGGGGAAGTTGGATTGAATCGAGGCGTGTTCTCATGTAAGCCTTTCTGAAAATTTCCTAAAGAAATTTCGGAAGAAAGAGACCTAGAGACCCACAGTTCCAGGAGGTTGTTGGGACTCTTTCCTCTCATTCTACATACTCAGTTTTGTCATTGATTTTGTTTGAAACGTTATGTTCTTTTCCTTAAAGGGGCCCCGCACACTCTGGCCCCGGGCTGGGTCAGGTCCGTCTCCAGTTGCTGCCCGCTTGTCTCCGAGCCTCCCCTCCTGCGGGTCACAAGGCCGCACGTGAGGGCGGGAGCCGCAAGGGTCGGTGTGGCCGTGACGACCTGCAGGAGGGACCACCCTCAGTGCCAGCAGCGCCCGCCCCGCCTGGCCGGTCTCTCCAGGACCCACTGCATTCCCACAGCTTCCTCAGAAGCAGACAAAACCTCCACTAATGGACTTGCCCCTGAATCTAAAAACTATTTTGAAACAGTCTCTTTAAACCTACTTTTATGTATCAAATATACCTTGAAAAAAATTTTTTTTTCTTCATTGGTTTTAGAGAGAGAGGAAGGGAGGGAGAGAGAGATGGAAACATGGATGAGAGAGAACATGGACTGGCCGCCTCCTGCACACCCCCACTGGGGACGGGCCCACAACCTGGGCACGTGTCCTGATCGGGATCGAACCAGCGACCTCTTGGTGCAGGGTCGACGCTCAACCACGGAGCCACGCGGGATGGGCTCGAATATACTTTGAACTAGAGTTGGATAAAGGAATAACTAATTTGCACATGCAAAGGCAAGCTACAAAAATGTGCTTAATACAATGTTTTATATTTTTAATAGAATTTCTGAAAAAAGGAAAAAATGCCGTTCCCAGCTAAGCGACAATAATGGCATTCTTCTGCGTTTCCGTTCTAGCCCTGTCCGGTCCAGCGCCTCACTCGGGGTGGAAAGAAAGCGCACGGAGGCCGGCGGCCGGCGCGCACTCGGCGCCGAGAGGTCCTCGGGGTCCTGGGGCTCGCGCCCACGGCGCCGGGGTCCTCGGGCTCGCGCCCACGGCCCCGGGGTCCTCGGGCTCCCGCCCACGGCCCCGGGGTCCTCGGGCTCCCGCCCACGGCTCGCCGAGAGGTCCTCGGGCTCGCGCCCACGGCCCCGGGGTCCTCGGGCTCGCGCCCACGGCTCCGGGGTCCTCGGGGTCCTCGGGTTCGCGCCCACGGCTCCGGGGTCCTCGGGCTCCCGCCCACGGCTCCGGGGTCCTCGGGGTCCTCGGGGTCCTCGGGTTCGCGCCCACGGCTCCGGGGTCCTCGGGCTCCTGCCCACGGCTCCGGGGTCCTCGGGCTCCCGCCCACGGCTCGGGGCGCCCTTCCTCGCTGCTCCTGTGGCCGCGGCCAGGGGGACGCCGCAGCCAGTCCTGAAGGGACGTGGAAGTGCGGGAGCGCGGTGGACGGCGGCGGAGGGGACGCTGCTCCTGGGGCCAGGGGACTTCGTGTCGGGAGGCGGGTCCGTGAGGAGGTCCATGGGCCCAGAAAGGGGCGTCTTGTTTGCCCGTTCATTTGGGTTCTAGCGAAGGACACTAGGAAGCCACTTAGCACCAGGCAGGACCGCGGTGCGGTCAGACGGTGGGGGAGCCTCCAGCTGCTGCGGGTGAGCTGGGGCAGAGGCAGTGGACACGGGCCAGGGAGAAGCCGCGACACCACCCAGAGGAGAGACCTCGCGGCGGAGGGAGGCCTGGGAGGAAGAAGGTGCGGAGAGAGCACCTGGCAGCCTGCGGTGAGCTGGACATCGGAAAGCGCCCTTGTGGGAGGAGCAGGACACTCGGTGACTCCCAGGGTTCTGGTCGCTGCCTGAGTGGGCCCCCCATCACCGAGACAGAGGACAGGACACTCGGTGACTCCCGGGGTTCTGGTCGCTGCCTGAGTGGGCCCCCATCACCGAGACAGAGGACAGGACACTCGGTGACTCCCAGGGTTCTGGTCGCTGCCTGAGTGGGCCCCCCATCACCGAGACAGAGGACAGGAGAGGAGAAGCAGGTGCCAGTAGACGGGCAGGTGTGGCCAGTGGCCGCGCCAGGGATCCTGCACAGGGGGTCGGGCAGCAGGACCGTGGGATTGGTCTGGAACAACGTCTATGGTGAGAGGAACTCTGCTTGTACTCTGCGTGTCAATGGTGTGGCATGGGAAGGTGAGTGACTTTCAGGGGACTGGAAGGTCCCCACCGCCCAAATTCAGTTTTGGGCGATTGTGTTATTTAAGGGTTTTTTTTTGTTGTTGCACATGACAGAACCCAATTTATTTATTTATTTTTTATCCTCGCCCGAGGACATTTTTGTATTTATCTTCAGGTAGAGCGGGAGGGAGAGTGGGAGGAAGAGAGAGAGAGAAACATCAATGTGAGAGAGACACGTCGACTGGCTGCCACCCACACGACCCCAACTGGGGCCAGGGACAAACTGCAGCTGAGGTGCGTGGCCTTAGCGGGAACCAAACCCAGGACTCTCTGGTCCACAGGCCGACGCTCTAACTGCTGAGCCAAACCGACCAGGGCAAGAGAAGCTTTAAATAGTGAAACTGTTTTTCCTCAAAACTGCTCCAACATAACTCAGTTATTTGTCTTGCCTGGCTGATTACAAGCCACTAGAATCCGAGTTCCATGAAAAGGGTGTATTTTGTCTGTTTTATCCACTATCGTGTTGTCAGTGGCCAGAGCAGTGCCTGACACGTAGTAGGTGCTCAATGAATACTTGTTGAAAGAACAAGTAAGTGAGCAAATGAATAGATGGATTTTATCCTGTCCGTAAGCCCTCGGTGAACAGGACAGAGATGTTGGTACGAGGTGCGGAGCCCCTTGATCCGTGGCTTCACTGTCCGAGGTTTCTGGTACCGGCAGTCAACTGTGGTCTGAAAATATCCGGTGGAAAATTCCAGAGATAAACAGTTTGTAAGATTTAAATGGCACGAATTGCATGACGCAATCTCACCTGAGCCGTGAGTCACCCTCTCGCGGAGCATCTCCACTCCACAGGTTCAGTACAATAAGCTGCTTTGAGACTCCCCACCTGCCCATGGCCTGTATCACAGCAGATTGCTACGACGGCCCCATTTTATTACTGCTGTTACTTTCTCAATGTGCCTCCTTTATAAATCAAACTACCACAAGTGTGCACGTGTAGGGAAAAACACAGTGCGTACAGGGTTCGGTTTATATAAGCATCTATTGGGGGTCTTGGAACATGTCCCCCACAGATAAGGGGACCCCTGTAGTTAAACCCAATGCGGATCTATGTGGTTCATGCTTCTGGGCTATTTGTCATGTTTGTTCTTGTTGCTGGTTTCCCGGTGGGTTTTTTCCTGGGTGGAGAAGTCGGAGGTGTTACGAACACCGCTGCAGAGCGAAGGCCTTGGTCCTGACCCCACTCCGGGTGAGAATAACATTTGTATTGCGACTTTCTCCCCAAAGCTATTGTATTTGGTTCTCCACCTACCCCGGCAAGGCAGGTAAATAGGCAGGCTTAGAGAGAGCCGCCCTGTGCCACGTAGGTGGTCCTGTCCCGCCGCACCTGCTGTCTCCCCGAATGCTGTGTGCTGGGAAGAGGCCCTCTCTGGGCCTCGGCCCCCGCTCTGGGGACTGTCCAGTGATCTTTCATATTCCTCCCCAACTTCAATCCCATGACTCTGTGGGCCTCCTCCTCCTCCCTCGCAGGTTTGAAAAAACTGTCGCTTTAAAAAGTACTAAAAGAATGAGATTTTCTTTCTACTTGCAACTGCATAGCGCTTTCAAAATCCGATTCAGTTGCTCAAAATCAAATGACGAAAAAGGTCCCTTTCTTTTCAGGGACCGCCGTGACCGCCGTGGACAGACTTGGTGTTGGCGAGCACGGGGCTCGCAGAAGAGTCGTCGTCATCGTTTTAACGCGGTGAGAGGCCCCTTCTCTCACCTTCAATACTAACGAATAAACATAAACATGAAGTTGTCCGGCCGGTGTGGCTCAGTGGTTGAGCGTCGACCCTGCACCAAGAGGTCGCCGGTTTGATTCCCAGTCAGGACACATGCCCAGGTTGTGGGCCCGATCCCCAGTGGGGGGCGTGCAGGAGGCGGCCGATTGATGTTCTCTCTCATCCATGTTTCTATCTCTCCCTCTCCCTCTCCCTTCCCCTTTCTCTATAATCAATAAAGGAAAAATAAATAAATAAAGAAACAAACATGAAACATTTCATCACCAAGTAGCTAAATGACTAAACCTGGTCTTTGGTGTGTCCACCTGAAGTCGCTCTGTGTGTCCTGTCCGTGTGCCGCACGCGGGACCCGCCTCTGGGCCGCTGTGCGCTGTGTGCGCCTCTCCTCTGTCGGGCCTCGCGTTGGTCTCGAACCTGTATTTGTGGCCACGTAGGAAAGAATTGCTTTGCGTGTCTCATGAAAAAATATGACACAGAAAACTGTCTTTGCACAATCTTTTGTGGGTTTTATTTTGCTACAAAGTAGAATTCACATGGGCAAAAAGAAAAACATGCAAAGTATCTCTGTGCACACCTCTAGCACACTCTATTCCCCTCCTGAAGTCTCAGAATCAGAAAAGAACCTCCCAGCAGGAGCGCGAGGGCTGAAAGGCTGACAGAGCAGCGGGCTCCTCACACAGGCGCAGGCCACTCAGCTGCCAAAGTTCATGTTCATGACGATCAAAGAACTGTCAGCACATTTCAGAGACAGGAACTGCGGGGCCAAGGGGTGCTTCCCAGCACGAACTGGTAGAAAGCGCGTTTGCTGGGGTCGGCCATCGGAGATGTTAACCTGAAACTGATTCAACCTCAACCCTGATGCTAAACCGCATCTTTTTCCCGCTCCCTTACAGCACTTCCGCTGGTTCGTTTTGTGTTTTGGTAAATAAGAGTCCCTAGAAGCTACGCTGGCTCTCAGATGTAGGGAAACCAGGTGGACTGAGGTCCACCTCTGAGATATTTCACTTTGTGTTGTAATGGTCACGTGTGTGTGTGTGTGTGTGTGTGTGTGTGTGTGAACCCTTTTAAAGAATGATTTTGGAAGCTTAACTCCAGGGAGCGTTTTCCTTTCCGCATGACCAGTCCCTGATAATTGTTCTGTTTTGTTCTGAGTCCTTCAGAGAAAACGTGCCTCGAGTCTGTCTGTACCGCCAGCGACCTCCTTGTCCCTCCCTGTACATCTGAACTTTCCAAACCAGTGGCAGCTCCCAGTGCCGCAGCCCCTGCCCAGCCGGCAGGCACTCCCTGCAGATGGCTCTGTCCGGGCTCCAGGGCACTCCCTCACAGCTCAGCAAGGGCCCTGCGGCTCGCTGATGTCCCTCCTGCTCCCGGGGACCCCGGTGGCTTTGCCCTTGGAATGAAACACAGGCTTCCTGCGAGGGGCACGTCCAGCTCCCCCCGCTCCCCGGGGAGAAGGGGCCCATGGCAGACAGGCAGACCCCGCAAGCTCAGTTCTCAGAAGAAAGCGTGTCCTAATGCCAACAGTGTTCTCGTAAAAGATTCAAGCGTGCAGAGAAAACCCAAGCGGGACAGAAGGAGCAGCAGCAGGTGCTCAGTGAGCCCCGGCCCAGCGGCCTCCCCAGCGCCGCGTGCAGCGAGCAAACAGTACAGTGCGTCCTAAAGGGGCAGGGACTGCAGACCGTCACCAGCCTCAGAGCTAGGGCGCCGCTCTTCACGCCCAGACAGCTCAGAAGGCCTACTTAACGCCACCTGTCACACATCTTTCAAGGAAGTTTCAAGGGCCAAGTCTACTTGAAGAAATACTGAAATCATCCTCCGTCGACCTAAGGCATAATCTCCCGAGTAGGCATCGGTCCACCTTTCCCTTCGAGCAGCCAACGCAGCGGCACACGACCAGGGTGCCAGGCAGAGGGACACGGAGAAGGGTGCTGACCTGAAGTGGGGGGCCGCCACGCCCCACTTTCCCCGGAGGCTGGCAGAGGGTGAGTCCCTCGCCCCCAGAGGCTGGGCACGTTCTCAGCCCTTCTGCCACCCTGATCCAAACACGGTCTCCCTCTCCTTTCCCAGAAGCCACTAGGCCCGCAGGGGCGGGGGTGCAGGTAGACTCCATGAGTGGGCGTAGGACGGGCAGTGCCATCCACCAGCCTGGACAGTCCTGCTCACAGACCGCACAAAGCAAACAAAGGCCACACAGAACCCACGGTCGCTTTCAAATCTCTCACACACAGCAAAGCAGGATGGGAAAAGCCCAATCCCACGTTCCAGGCGCAATTCACAAAGGAGCCGAGCCTTTGGGACCCGGTGTGTCAGACTGGACGAGGCAGCTGAAGCGCCCGCCTTTGCCCGCTGTGGGCAGCGTGGGCCAGAGCCCCGGGCCTGGCAGTGCCCGTCGGCTCCCAGAACACGCTCCCCGTGGCTGGGCTCCCTCAGGACACTCAGGTCCGTTCCAGGTCTGAGGTCTGCCGCCCAGAGGTAGCTCACGACGCAGCAAGGGAACAGCACTTCCTTTTTTGGTGAGGAAAGCCCAGTGGGTCTGAGCTCCCAAGCCCTCGGCTCTGGCTCTAAAAATACCCGAGTGTTTGGCACTTGGTCTGTTTGCCAAGGAGGGCTGAGAGCCCCGCAGAGCCTCGGCGGCCCAGCCGGCTCTGCCCTGCCTGTGAGCCCGCAAGGCCTCCCTCTGGGCAAGCCCGTGCTGTTGGCGCCGAGCTCTGGGAGTCGGCCCTGGGCGCTGACGCACACTCAGTCTTGGAGTCATGGCTAGCTTGGTTAGGAACCTTCCCTTGGCTTCTAGTCTGAACTATGCGAATACACAATCTGTGTACAGAAGAAAGGACTAAAATTACACTTCAAAGAGCTCAGTGTCTCCCCGTCTTCCTGTCCTCCGAAAAGAATCGTCCGCCTTCTCGAAGCCTCCGCTGCCGGAGGCGGGAGCAGCCCCGCCGGTCCGCGCCAGGTGCCCGGCTGCCTACACGTTGATGGCGTGTGCGTGCTTCTTGCACAGGGGCTTGTCCTTCTTGGAGTAGAACGGCTGCCCCTCCAGGTTCACGTGGCAGACCTAGGACAGAGAGCACAGGCGTGACGCAGGCGTGCAGGCCACACGGCGCGCGCGGGACTCCGGTCCCCCCTTGAGGACAAGCTGCCCACGCAGTGGGGAGCAGAGGCAGCATCTCAGTCCCCCCACGACCAGTTCCTAATAACCGAAGCAGACCAGAGGGCTAAGCGATATGAGATGCAAGGCTTTCGAAGAGGAACATGGACTCAGACCCCCATTTAACTAAATGGACGGAATAGAGAAATATGCATGATGAAGACACTCTCCAAAATCAGCAAGGACCCAAGACAAGTCCCTATCAGCCTCCACGGAGATGGTCAACCTCGGGAGAAATACTGTTAGTAAACAAACACATCAGAAAAATTATCCCCTGAGGGCATAGAAAGGGAGACTAAAACCTCCATAAATACCGCTAGAGAACTATTAATGTGATAAAACAGAAAACCAGACGAAAACAAGAACTCTCCGTAGCTTGTCCCCTTCAACCGTGTGTAACTGTAGCCAAACGTGAGAAAAGTAGCGAAAGTCAGCGGCACCACAGGGCTCAGACCACCCGTGCGCCGCTGGGGCCACGCGGACACTGGGTCTGCCACAGGGACACGCGGTGCGGAGGGCGTGCCCCTGCCCGTCACCCCACTGGAGAATTTCATCTCGCAGAAACTGTTGTGCAGACAAGAAGGCGACGTGTGCTCCACCAGAAACGGAAAACCACTACTTCTCTCATACGGAGACGATGAAGTACGTTTTCAGGGTACACGCCCCAGGGGAGGGCCACCATGAGGAGGTGAACTGAATGCAGAAGTGGACGCAGGAGGTATTGTATGACAGACAGACAGAATGATCTGTCCCGTGATGGCGCCTGCGAGTCGGGTTGGAGGGTGGAGAGTCCCGGAGAGGAGGAGCCCAGGAACGCCTGTCGGGTCCTGTGTGGGGGTCAAGCAGCATGGCGGCCACTCCACGCACATGATCTCATTGAACTCTCACAAGAGCCTTATGGGACAGGTACGACTTCTCTCCATTTCACAGTTGAAAATTGGGGCACGGAGAGCCCACGTGTCTATGCCACAGACCTAGTGAGCTGCGGAGCTGGGAACCCACGTCCAGGCCACAGCTCCCCATGCGGAGCTCCTTCTCCCTGCGCCCACAGCAGGGGGCTGTGTTCCCTTGAAGTGGTTCTGGGAGAGGCAGCCCTCCACGTCTTCAGACGACCAAAACGTGGGCCGGCCTGGGTGGGCAACATGCCAATGTGTCGGAGTGAGCTGGGAAGTCGCACCGGCGGGCCTGGCCCCGGCCTCAGGGCAGTGAGGATGCCTGACGGGGAGCAGAACTGGGCCACCCCGGGCCACTGAACTGGATGAGGACGTGCAGGTGGAGTTCCCATGGGCGGGGACGCAAGAGGATGGAGAAATCTCGTGTGCAAAGCCCTGACGGCCCGTTGAGGATGGAGCACTTGGGGTCACACGGCGCTGCCAACGGGCTCTGGAGGCCAACGGCCTGAAAGCGTCTGAGAACACCCCGGGCGGGTACAGTCACGGTGAGTGGAGCCAGGCGCCTGAGGTGGCCTCGAGCTGCTGAGGACAACCTGGAGCCACGTCCAAGAAAGTGGCCTCGAGGTCCAGCTGGGGGCAGGTGCCGCGGGAGACCGAAAGGCAGCTTGCGGTGAGTTGGCAAGGAGATGCCGTCGAAGCCGGCCCGGTCTGGGACGGTGCTGGTTGCCTGGGAGGACTCGGGGATGGGTCGGGCTGGCCAGGGCGTTGGGGGCACTGAAGACCTCGGAGAGAGGCCGGGAGGACTTCATGGGGGAGGAGGCACACAGGGGCACAGCAGGGAGGCCACCTCCCGGCTCCATGGTCTACGGGCAGCCGGCCTGCTGGGAGGAGCGATGCCCATGGACAGTGCCTGCAGGGTGGGGGCAATGGGACAGGCCCCCAGGTCACAGCGTCAGCGTCCCCCTACCCACGCGGTGAGGAAGGGCTAGAAACCAACTAGCCTTGGAGGGAACCGGGGGCCAGTAAGGTAGGACCCAGAGCCTTTCCCTGGAACCCAGGTGCCGAAGGAGTAGACCCTCACCGGACCCACACCGCTCTTCCCAAGCCTTCATGGTGCGCTCGGGGCTTTCGAGATGCCGTCTTGTCCTGCCCTTTAATTGCTTGCACATGTTAGCTCTGATTCCTTGCAAGATTCTAAATTCCCTGAAGGTGGAGTTCTGGAACATTCCGGCGCTCCCAAACCGTGCTCATTTGAGTTAGCCCGAAGGACGCGCTCCCCCTATGCGACTGCTGGGGACACCGCCCTCAGCTGCCCTGCCTACGTGTGTGTCTCCGTTTCTTTCAAGTTACAGGGAAAATGGACACTCATTAAAAGTGATTTGGAAATATAAAGTGATAGAAAGAGAACCTAAAAAAGCCCTCAAATGTTCCAATCAAAAAATCGTCTCCCAAAAATGAAAGCCGTGCCCACTTCGATGCCCCCTAACAGGACGGGGGGCCACCCAGGGCGCGCTGGGCAGAAGACCGTCGATGCTCCGAAGGATGGGAGCCGCGGGCTGCTTCAGGCGGTCCTTGGGCAGCGCTGTGGGGCTCCCTCCCGACTAGGGCGCATTTGCGTCTCAGGCTTCACAGCTCCTTCCGGCTCCCCCGGGCTCACACTGTGCTGCTCTCGGCCAAGTGCCGCGGGCTCAAGGGAGGACGCCCACAGTCCCCTTTGCCATGGGTCCCTCTGCAGGCATCTCCCCAGCCTGCCCCAGGAGGAGGGGCCGCCTGTACCACTGTCTCCCTGGGCCTTCTCCAAGGCTCCGGGATTCTTCTCGAAACTGGGGAACCAGACTTTCAGGCAACATTTAGGATCAGACAAGCTGTGGCTTGAACATACGGGCCAGAGAGCCATACTCTGTGCCTCGCTGAGCTGTGGCTTTGCAGGGGACAACCCTGGGAAGGGTATTTATACAATCGTTGCCACCTTGGGAGTGGAGGCCCTGATGTATTTAAAGGACTACAAAAAAGTCCAGCCAGTGTGGCTCAGTGGTTGAGTGTCGACCCCGCACCAAGAGGTTGCCAGTTTGATTCCCGGTCATGGCACATGCCCAGGTGTGGGCCAAATCCCCAGTGGGGGACATGCAGGAGGCAGCCAATCCAAGTCTCTATCTCTCTCTCCCTCTCCTTCCTCTCTAAAATTAAAAGAAAAAAAATTTTTTTTTTTATCCTCACTCGAGGACACTTTTCCATTTTTTGTACAGATAGAGTGGGAGGGAGAGAGAGGAAGGGGGAGAGAGAGAGAAACATCGACGTGAAGGGACACATCGAGTGGCTGCCACCCGCACGACCAACCAGGGCCGGGGACAAACTGCAACCGAAGTACGTGCCCTTAGCGGGAACTGAACCCGGGTCTCTCCGGACCGCAGGCCGATGCTCTAACCGCTGAGCCAAACTGGCCAGGGCAAAAGAAAAAATTTTAAAAATAAAATAAAATAAAATAAAGGACTACAAAAAGCAGCTAGAGAATCTGTTCAAAGATCTAGACCATCGGTGTGTGGACTAAATTGCGTGTCCCCCAGATTCGTCCGTTGAAGGCCCAGCCCCCAGCGTTTCCCGCTCGCCCAGCACAGGGACACAGCAGTGTCTCCTGTGGAGACAGCCTTTGCTGATGTCGTTAAGCTGTAAGTTAAGAGGAGGTGACGCTGGAGCGAGGGGTCCTTCTGAGGACAGAAGCACAGACACACACAGGAGACGGCCACGTGAAGACAGACACACGGAGGGCAGACAGTCAGGTGACGATGGCGTCGCAGACCAGAAGCCAAGAAGCACCGAGGACTGCAGGCAGCACCAGAAGCGAGGAGACAGCCTGGCCCGGCTGACGCCTCGAATCTGGATTTCTAGCCCCCGGAACTGAGAGAACACGTCCCCGGGTGCGGCACTTTGTTCCGGCAGGGCTAGCAGGCCACTACCACCGTGAGCGCAGTGCACCCGACCCGCTGGGGGCTGGGGGGTCGCACAGAAATGAATTGTCAAACCAAAGTGTATGGTCAACTTTATGACTCGGGTTGTCCTATGTCCTAAGTCTATAAAAATTCTTCAGGTTTAGCCCTGGCCGGTTTGGCTCAGCGGTTGGAGCGTCCGCCTGCGGTCCGGAGAGGCCCAGGTTCGGTTCCCGCTAAGGGCATGTACCTCGGTTGCAGTTTGTCCCCGGCCCTGGTTGGTCGTGCGGGTGGCAGCCACTCGATGTGTCCCTTTCACATCGATGTTTCCCTCTCTCCCTCTTCCTCTCTCTCCCTCCCACTCTGTACAAAAAATGGAAAAGTGTCCTCGGATGAGGATTAAAAAAAAAAAAAAAAAAAATCTTCAGGTTTAAACTATACAGATCTTTCATATGTCACCAAAATTTACCTTGATCAGCTCTGGTAAAAACAAACAAAAATATGTAGTAGTAGCACATTAATTTTCCCAAATTAAGTTTAGTCGACGACAGACTGTCATTCCAGGCTCATCAGGGACGGCCATTTCCGAACTCTTGCGCAGACTCTGAACGGCAGTAGGCGCAGGTCGGGTGCCCTCCCCGCCCAGAGCCCTTGGAAGGCAAATGCCAACCTCTCATGGTACAAATGACCTGGCTGCTTAGCAGAAATAAACTGCACGTAGTTAATAGTTAATCTAGGGCTTATCTCCTGGCAACTAGGTATCAAGAACAAGACCATTTAGGAAAACGAAATTATATTCAGTCCTACTTTCTAAAGGTTATTATCAAAAGAAACTTTATCTCAGCTTTTCCTAGGGTTAGTCAATAAGCTCCAATCCAGTGTTCCTGGTGACAATTTAGGGGGAAACCCTTGAGTCCCTTCATCGCCTCTAAAACAGCTGTAACCACAGAGCCATCTGCCTGGCTTCAGCTCCAACCAGCATTCACCGCTCACGGCTGCCGCCGACCAGGAATGACGCCAGCGAGGCGCGTCCTGGGACCGTTGTCCTTCGTGAAATGGAGAGTAACAAAGCCATACAGCTTAATAAAGATTATTAGCAATAAAGCTTTGTTCAACGGACACATCGAGACCTCATGGTGCCTGTCATCGTTTGAAAAGGATTGGAACATGAGGACGTAGAGTGCGGGTCGCCCGGCCCGCCTGGTCCCTCCCGCCCCTTCCAGAAAGTCAGACCCCAAGGCTAGAGACATACTGCACAGATGAAGCAGGTGTCGTGCCAGGTGTGTCCCAGGGCTTCGATGAACTTGTCACCAGCCTCCACGGGGAAGTCGCAGCCGTGACACTTGGTGCTGAACAGGTTGATGTAATCTGAAACAAAAGGCAAGGTGACCCAGGCAGGCCGGGAGGGGCGTCCTGGCCACATCCACTCGGTACCAGGAAAACCAAGTCCCCGGGCCAGGGGCAGGGGGTGAAACCCAGCTGGTTACTTGTCATCTTGCAGACAAAATACTCAGTGATACGTTTTTCTTGTTTCTTCCTGACGAGAACCGCCTTTGTGCTGATTCGGGCTCAGGAAATGCTCTAGGCCTGCGGGGTCGGCAAGTACCTTCCCAGACTCTCACTGACCTGCTGCAGGGTGACCTCCTCTGTCTCTGTCACCTCTTGTAGCCCAAACAGACCAATCACACAAAAGACAAAAAACCGTATTTCTCAGCGACTGTGCTTATTTGGGGAGAATGAGAGCCCTTCACAGTTTTAATAGTTACAGAATGTTCTCTGCTTGGTCACTCTTCTGTTATTGGGCACTTGCTTTAATAACACATTTTCACTACTGGAAACAATAACTGAGCTACTTTGTTGCGACATGTACTCAGCGCCCGGCCCCACCCCCGGGCCAAGGAGATAATAATAACAAATGTCGCTTGTACAATGCTTTGTAGTTCGCCAAGCATTCTCACACAATGACATTATCTACTGGTATCCCAGTCGAGGTCTTTGTACACACGTGTTGCACGAATAGGTGAATCAATGAATCAGTCAGTCAATGAGTGAAATTAACCTTTGCAGAACCCTGAAGACTGAACTATCATCGTTTTCCTGTTTGGTTTGGTTTGATTTCGTGGCTGAGGAAACGGGATCGCAGGGGTGAAAGGCCAGAGCCACGGGGCTGAGACACAGGGGCCAGGTCCTGAGCCCCCCACCACAGTGCCTGTCCTCTCTGGTCACAGAGCAGCAGGTCTTCCGGGTTCTTCTAGAAAAGCATGATGGCTTTCACAAAGCCTTCGTCCCCCCGGAAGTGCACCTGTCTCCCCACAGCTGGCCACCAGCGACTTTCCGCCGGATGTCCGTGGGCAGCCTGCTCGCTGTCTAAGCCGCCTGGACGGGCAGGTCGTGGGGTTACGAATGCGCGTTCTGAAGAAAGCAAGCGCTGGGTTCAAATACATCCCAGCTCTACTGAGAACCGTTAAACCCGAGGCGAGTTGCCTGACTTCTCAGTGCCTCGACTTTCTCATCTCTATAATGGGAATGATCCTAGTACCTCACTCATGGAGTTGATAGACAGAATAAATAAGGTAATGTATGCGGAGCGCTTGGCACAAATCCTCAAAACGCTGGCTCTTCTTTTGAAAGTCTTTATGCATGATGACGGGAGGGAAGGAAACTGATTCGAGGGCCAGGTGCCAATCCACGATTCGTACCTTTCTCCGGGTCGCGTTTACTCTCCACAGCAGCTCTGGGAACAAGTATGATTCCCATTTTAAACACAAGGACACTGGCCCAGCCCGTGTGGCTCCGTGGTTGAGCGTTGACCCTGCACCAAGAGGTCGCCAGTTCGATTCCTAGTCAAGGCACATGCCCAGGTTTGGGGCCCGATCCCCAGTGGGGGGCATGTGGAAGGCGGCCAATCAATGTTCTCTCTCATTGATGTTTCCATCTCTCTTTCCCTCTCCCTTCCTCTCTCTAAAAATCAATAAAGAAAAAATAAATAAATAAAAATAAAATAAAGACAAGGACACTGGCCGCAGACATTCAATGGCACAAGCAGTCGGGAGCCTGATGAACTCCAAGTTTATTGTCCTCTTTCCACGACCTCACGCTGTCTCCAGTGACCTGTTTGCCCTTGAGCTTTGATAAGTTACATCTCTTGCATATTTTTCCAATGTATGGCTTCCCTTTTTGGGTTTAGTTATTGTTTGACATGCAAATGCTGCTACGTATATCACAGTCTGTGAACCTTGTTTCTGATCAAAACTTAATCTCTTCAGTAGGCAGAAATCGACTGCCCCAAGAGCTAAGAAAACCCGATTCTGCTTCCTTTAGGACGGAACAGCAGGTTTATGGCTCACTATGCGCTGTAGGAACTTACAGTGTGGGATGAGACACAGAGCTGGAGGTCAACCCCTCTTTAAGCCCTGCCCCTCTCTCCTGGCTTCTCTCTTCCTACTCTCAGTTGGTCTCCAGATGCCCTGGGCTCCTCCTCCTCCATGCCTCCGTATGAACGGCCTGGGCTTGGAGAACCCTCCTCACTTTCTCTACCTGAACCTCTGCAATCCTTTGGGCCAACCCTTCCTCCTGGGAAGTCATCCCCCTCCCCACCAAGAGATATAAGATATTCTTCCAGAGGGCTTCTCCTTCCTTCCTTCCTTCCTTCCTTCCTTCCTTCCTTCCTTCCTTCCTTCCCTCCCTCCCTCCCTCCCTCCCTTCCTTCCTTGTCTCCTAACGGTCCACTGTGTTGGCATATCATAAGATGATGGCTCTACTTGAGGATTTGAGGGCAGAGCCCCCTCCTCTATGCTTAGCATCTTGCACAGGAACTGGGACACATTTGATGGGTAAATGGGTCAAAAAACCTTAATAAATAGTCCTTCCTTCTCCTGTTGTGAAGCCTATGGTTTTTCATAGACTAAGCTCTCAAAATGGCTCGATTTTATTTCTGGAATGTCTAGTTTCTCCCACTGATGGATTTTCTGTTTTAAACGTCATTCTGTATGACCTGGAGAAATGTCAGTTTGTTGTTACATTTGGTATCACAGATCTGACCTAATACATTAAAAAAAAAAAAAAAAAGCTGATATTTTTCTCATTTACTCTGCAGAAGGAGAACGTATCCATATTGAATTAGGTTTGCACGTGGGCCTTTCCACCAGAAGCATGATCTAGTTCCTCATCTATTTAGTCCTTCCTTTTTTTTTCGGTTAACCCTCACCTGAGGATATTTTCCCATTGACTTTTTAGACAGAGTGGGAAGAAGAGAGGGGAGAGAAACACTGATGTGAGAGAGGCACATGGTGGTGCCTCCTGCCCACCAGAATCTCGTCTGCAACCCTGGGCACGTGCCCTTGATTGGGAATTGAACCCATGGACCTTCAGTGCTTGGGCCGATGCTCTAACCGCTGGGCCAGACCGCCAGGGCAGTATTTCTTTCTTCATTTCTCCTATTAGGCCGTTATAATTTTCTGTGACTAATTCTCTTCTGCCCCAAGTTGAATTCATACCCTGCATTTAATGGGCTTCATTGCTATGGTAAAAAGATTTCCATCCATCAGACCACAGATGCTCTGTGTTGGAAAAGGCTTTAGTGCTTTACCAGGACCATGGTTCTCGAAGGTCAGAACCTTCTGGATGGTTCATTCAAACACAGCCTGCTCCCCCCCCCCCCCCAAGCTTCCTATTCAACAGATCTGGGGCGGGCCTGGGAGGTCTGCATTTCTAATAGGTTCCCAGGTGATCTTACAGTTGCTGGGCCTGATGCCCTGGCCGGTTTGGCTGAGCGGTAGAGCATCGGCTTGTGGACCAACGAACGAGTCACAGGTTCGATCCTGGCCAACAGCACGAACCTCGGTGCGGGGTGGTTGGTCCCCTGCCCTGGTCGGGGTCATGCGGGAGGCAACCAGTTGATGTTTCCCTCTCAGGTCGATGTTTCTCTCTCTCCCCCCCCCCTTTCTCTCCCTCCCACTCTATCTGAAGATAAATAGAAAAATATCATCCTCCGGTGAGGATTAAAAAGAAAAGTTGCTGGGCCTCGGGTCACACTTGGGTTCCCAGACGTAGCTGCATAAACAGATCACCGGGGCCGGGAGGGGCACCCTGTGAGCTGCACTGCTGGGGGTTTACACATTTATTTCTCTGTCTCTTTAAAGTTCCCCAGGTGACAGTGACGCCCGGCCAGGCCTGGGCAGTGCTCAGGTGCAGGCCAAGACGAGAGGGGCAGACCCTCCCAACTGTCCTACTTATAAGCAAGACGCCATGCACGGAAGGGTCAGCTCGTCATTTCAGCCCACGGACACGTTCCTGAGTCAGGGCCCTACTGTGCTCTGCCTCCTTCCAAGTGCTCAGGAAAAACAGCGACCAAGTACCGCCACGGGACACCACCTCGCCCACGTCAGGATGGTCGCTGGCAAAAAACAAAATCAGAAAAGAACACGTGTGGGCAGAAACGTGGAGAAGTTAGAGCCCTGTGCGCTGTTGGTGGGATGGAAAACGGGGTGCAGGTCCCTTGAAAAGTGAAAAAGCAGAGCTTCCACAGACCCAGCATTCTCCCTCTCGCGCAGACTCGGAAGAATTGCAAACGGGTCCCGAGGAGCTGTGCGCACACCGAGTCCCCAGCAGCTCTGGTCACAGCCCTCAGAGCGGGAAGCGGCCCGGTGTCCAGCAACCTTTCCGAGGGGCTCCCCCGGAGACGGGCAGTGCTGACGGTGCAAATCTGTCATTCTCTCGGAAACCTGAGACACTGAGCACGCTTGTCGCAAATCATTACAGCCCAGTGCTTCCAGTGGATTAGCGACAGAATTCACGTAGGAACAACAATCCTTTCTTTTCTTTTTTTTATCCTCACCCGAGGACATTTTTCCATTTTTTATTCAGATAGAGCGGGAGGGAGAGAGAGGAAGAGAGAGAGAAACATTGATGTGAGAGGGACACATCGAGTGGCTGCCACCCGCACGACCAACCAGGGCCGGGGACAAACTGCAACCGAGGTACACGGCCTTAGCTGGAACCGAACCCGGGTCTCTCCGGACCGTAGGCCGACGCTCTAACCGCTGAGCCAAACTGGCCAGGGCAACAACACTTTTCTTAATTGCCAATAATCACTGTGTGCTCCTACGAAGGGAACACCCAGGTGTTATCTTCTCCCTTTACAGATGTGGAAACTGAGGCACAGAGTTTCTTAGTGACTAAGGCGTTCAGTGAACTTTAGAGCTGGAAGGAGAACTTACCAGCTCATAAGAACCCAAGAAATTGTTTTATAATTTATTGTCGGGGGGGAGGGGGTTCATTCTGTCTTGCTTCTGCCCTGGAGGGACTGCAGTGTTTGCTGGGTTCTCTTTGTAAGGTAAACTACTGTTTCTCTTCCCCCGCACACGTGCAACCTGGTCTCTGCGGCCCTGTCCCCTTCACACCGGGCGGGCCCGCTCCTCCCTCTTCCACCTCGCACGGCCTTTCTCTTTCTGTCGTCTTAACCTCGCGTCCGTGCTGCTCTGCCGGAGTGGCCTCGAATCCTGTTCGCAAAGAGGCGGCCGGCCGTGGATAAACGAGCGAGTGAGTCCGTGCACGCCGGTCAGCCCGACACCCGACCCTCCGGCGGAGCGCTCCGTCTTCAGAACGTGTGCTCACTCACTCCAAGTGTTAAGAGAACACGCAGCATTGTGGGAAGCAGACGAGCTCTGAGCTCAGAGGGGTTGCAGGACTCAGAAGGAGCGGGGAGGGCGACTTGCCGCGGTTGGTGCTTCACACGCGTTCTCTGGTTTATCCCCCCACAAATGCATGGGGCGGGTGTTTAGCGCCCCCATTTTACAGGTGGGGAAAGTGAGGCTCAGAGGAGTCCAGCAGTTCACTCGGGGTTGTAAAGTCAGCCTGGAACAGAACCCAGCCTAACGTCCAGCCCAAGCCTTTTCAGACTAGACGTTGTGGTCTCCAAATCAGAACCGTCCAAGGAGTTTCCCACGCGCTAAAGATGCCAACTGGTGATCCACACACTTGGTTCAGGGAGGGGGCTGAGACTGAACATGTGAACCACAAGCCCCCTCATTCCACAACCCCTCCAACCTCTCACCCTCACCCCGCCCTGAGGAACGTTGCAACCAAATGGGGGAGACCGTGTAATAAACTTCCTCTGTGCGACACTGGCGTCATTCTGCCACTTGGAGCCTCCGGTGTGTCCCTGTGATTGGGCCGAGGCAGCAGTTCCCTGGGCCTGCCCCTTCCTCCCCTTGGGGGCGAGGGACGGGAGTGGTGGGGTGCCTCCCCTACCTTTCTCACAGTAGGGCTCCCCGTCCTCCATGTGGAACAGGCTGTTCCCGAAGGGCTTCTTGCAGGCCGCACAGACGAAGCAGGTGGTGTGCCACGTCTGCCGCAGGGCGTGCATCACCTCCTGGGGGGGGGCCTCGGTCAGGACGGGGGCCCGGCGGAGCCACCACGCCCAGCCAGCCGAGCATCGCATCTGGGAGCAGGCCGGATGCGCCAAGGAGGGGTCCCTGCTCAGGCAGCACTGCCGGGTGCCAGGTACTGCGTGTGCTTACATAACAGATGCCGAGCACTCCCATCCACCCGGGAGGGAGAACTGCTTGTCCTGCCCTTCCCCAAGGGGCGCCCGGGGTCAAGGCTACACGCGGGCGCATGATGAGGTCAGGCCAGGAAGGCAGCTCGCTCTGCAGAGGCCCCCCATTCAAGCTGGGAGCGCAGGCACGCAGTCACCTCCGGCTTCGAGTGCCCTGCTCCCAGTTCACTGGTGGCAAACCAACTTCCTTCCAGAACAGAAACGGGGTTGCCCTCGCTCTGTGAGCTTTCTTGGGGGAGGGGAGGGACCGGTTGGGGGAGAGGCGGGTCGGAGGAAAAGGACGCCTACCCCCATGATTTTGGTGTTGCACTTGGCACAGATCGGGGCGAAGAACTGCTCGTAGCACCGCTCGCAGTACACGTTGCTCTGCTCCTCCACGAAGCACACGTCGGCCAGGGAGCACTTGCAGGAGGCACAGCTGAACTCCTCCGGGTGCCAGGAGCGGCCCATGGCCACCAGGAAGGGGCCCCTGGGAAGCGGAGAGCAGCACTTACTAAGGCAGCCCCGAAAGCCGGGGAACAGAGAGTTTGAGACCCCCCGGAATGCCCCTCCTTTGACCCAGTAGCCCTGACTTGTGACTGTTCTAAGAAACAATGTAGCACTCAAATAAAGCTCCTGGCGGAAAGATGTTCGCTGCAGCAGCATTTACAGCAGAGAACTGGGAAGCAGCTCAGCGCCGCAGCAGGAGCGGGGGAGGGGCAGCATGGCGGGACAGCCATCGGGCGACATGGCGGGACAGCCATCGGCTGACTGCGGACACTCGTGAGAAGAGGCGGACGACGGTGCTGATGGGTGACGTTACTCAGTGCTCGGGGTGCGCCAGGCACTAGTCACAACGCACTTGGTATTTGCTAACTTAGTTCTCACAGCAATCCTTGAAGTAGGTAACGTATGACCCCCATTTTCAGATGAGGAAACTGAGGCACAGAGAGGTTAGGTTTTCAGGGCCAACAGGGCCGGGGGAGCCTGGTTCCACACTGGCAGTGAGAAAATTGGGCCCACAGGGGAGTTTTATTTATTTATTTATTTTCTGCATTGATCTGCAGATAGAGCAGCAGGGAGAGAGGGGGGAAGAGAGAGAGAGAAACATCGATGTGAGAGGGACACAGCGAGTGGCTGCCACCCACAGGCCCCCAACCGGGGCCGGGGACAAACTGCAACCGAGGTACGTGCCCTTAGTGGGAACCGAACCCAGGACTCTGGTCCGGGGGCCGAGGCTCTAACCGCTGGGCCAAACCCTCCAGGGAGAGGCAATGTTTTATATTTCCATGTTTCCTTCTAATTTTCTAATTCTCCTCTGAGAATGTTACTCTCCGTGAAACAGAAGTACACTTTTCGTACATTTCAAGTGCACTCTGCCAAGGACACACACGAATGCGGTCACACACACATTCCAACAGCCCGCCCTTCACCCCAGCTTCTAAGCCTGAGACGACTTGTTTTCATGGCCGCGGCCGAGGCCCACTGGAGCCCTGAGCAGCACAGGCCTGTCTGTGGAAAGACCCAGAAGACAACCCGCTCTCAGCCAGCTTGCAACATGCCCCATGAACCTCCTGACTACAGTGCCTGCCATTCCCAGAGCCTGGCCTCAGCCAGGGGAGGTCCTGTCCCCAGGCACCACACTGGGGGCATCGCCCACTCACCTGACAGAATCCTCCCACGTCCTCAGGGAGGGAGTGTCACACAGGGTGCAAGCCAAAGCTCAGAGAGGGTCAGACCTGATGTTGACCCAGAGGGACCGAGGCTGCCCTGCGCGTGGTTTCTCCCTGCACCTGCCCTCCCCCGCCCCACCACAGGGCTCAGACAGTGGACAAGCAACCTGCACCCTGCTCTGCCAGCACCCCAACACAGAGCCACAGGGGGTCCTACCGGATGACATTGTTGCAGTGGCCACAGAGCGGAGTCCGGCTGCTGGCTGGGTAGCGCTCGGCCCTCTGGATGGTGCCCCTGGCAAGGGGGGGCACCTGGGAACCTGGAGTGTAGGCAGGAGTCCCTCCGGGCAGGGTCTGCTTGCTGACCGAGGTGGTGCTCTTGCCAGGGGCAAACTTCTGAGAGAAGCTGTCATCTGTCACCCAAGGGGGGCGGCTGGCAGATTCAGCAGGGCCCCCACCGTAGGCCACCGAGGGTGCAGGGTTATAGCTCGGGGCAGGGGAGGGGGTGTAGGCTGGTGCTGGGGAGGGTGAGTAGGTGGGGGCAGGGGAAGGGGTGTAGGCGGGGGCAGGGGAGGGGGTGTAGGTGGGGGCAGGGGAGGGAGTGTAGGCGGGGGCAGGGGAGGGGGTGTAGGGAGCTGGACTGTAATTGGCCCCTGGGGATGGGCTGTAGGTATTTGTGGGCACTGCAAGGCAAAAAAAAAGAGCCAAAGAAAGTGCATCAGAAATTCATTGCCCCAACTTCCCACCCCCAGCCCCAGCCAGAGGAAGGCGACTCTAGTATCAGAGCAGAACGATCCAGTTCTTGGCAGAGGCACTGTCCTGAGTCTTGACGCCCAGATTTGAATTTGCAGCGGGTGCCGAGGGAGACAAAGGGCATGGGAGCAGAGGCCCCAGGAGCCAGGAGCCGGGCTGGGGCTGCCGCTGCAGGGCCGAGGGCCGCTTGTGGGCCCTGGCTGCCGGAGGCCTGCAGCAAGCAGGGGGGGGGCGTGCTGGCCAGGAAGAGGCTGGGACCGGCTCAGCCCCCACTGGAAGGTGCGCCAGTGCACAGCGACTGTGCCATCTGAAATGCCAGTGCGTGCGTCTGCGGAACCTGGACCTAGTCCAGTCTGCGGACAGCAGACGACAGGGCCGCAGGGTTTCCGGGTTCGGGTTTCTGGGTTAGTCACAAGTGTTTTCCTGAGAGACATCTCGGCTTGACTGGCACTGGGAAATTCCCTCTTGGTTTGACTCGGGGAGGGTCTTGAAGGGGTCGCTCAGAGGGAGCCTGGGACAGAGATGCCGAGGGGCCACAGCCCAGGCCTAGCTGCCCTGGGGGCCCCGTGCTCCCCACATCACCTTGGTAGAAAGTAAGTGGGTCAGGGGGCTGCGAGGTTACGAGGTCAGCGTAAGAGTGGGGGGCACTGCTGAGCTTCGGGGACCCCTCCTCCAGCTCTCTGACAGCTAAGGCCTTTTTGGGGTGACAGCACTGAGGAGCACTGTAGCTGCTCACCCAGAGCACTCGGAGGCCTGGCCCCCAAACCCAGGCACCTCAGCGCTCTGTTGCCTCCACGGTGGGACCCGCTGGGGCGCTGACAGAGCTGCGTCCCACCTACACCGTCCCGCCAGCCTCCTCTGCCAGGGAGGAAGGTTCCAGGTGCCCTACCTCCTCAGTCTGCTCTCAGGGAAGGAGGCCTCATTCTCTCCCCAGCCCCATTCCTGAGCCTGGCCTGGGTAAATGGAGGACTGTGCTGAGGGTTACTGAGGTCCCCCCCGCCAGGGTCCCAAGGCCAAAGGCCATGACCTAGCTCTGGTCTCTCCCACCTTGTCCCCCTGGACCTCCTTGGGTGGCCTGTGGCCTGCTGCTCCAACTCTGTACCTTCTCCTCCCAGGGGACTGGTTCTTTGGAGCTGGGTGTCATGGGAAGCCCTGCTCTGGGTGGGGAGGGACCAGCCCTGTGTTCTGGAGGCTGCAGCCCTGCCCTGGAGCCGTCTGGGAACAGGGCTGCTTCAGCCGCCAGGAATCTCCTTCCCACTTCCTGACGGGCAGAGCGGCCCCTAACGTCATCTGTTTACAGCTGAGGCCATGAGCCCAGACAGAGCCAACAAGTGGCAAAGCGAGTCTCCAAACTATCCCTTCTGTCACCCACGCTGCCTCTGTAGAGAACATAAGTCCCATTCCCACGAAACCTGGTGTCCCACGTCACTGGGGTAGCTGTGCACAGGGAGGAGGTCCCGTCCCCTGGCACGCGGCACAGCCGGTAGGAGCACAGCGTGACCATCCAGGCCACGTGTCCTTGGGCAAATTCCTGAACATCTCTGGGCCTGGATGCCCTTGTCTGAGAAGGGCAGTGATGATTCTTGGCCCCTCACAGAGCTGTTCGAGAACTAAGCAGATGGCACACGCGTGTCAGTAACGGTCACTGAGGATGTGGGGTCCGTGGCTCCTGGCTCTCAGCGCACTGTCAGCTCAGCTCCTAGCCTGGTGGGCACCGGAGGGCGCTCACCCTGGTGGACTGTGGGATGCGGAGGCTGGAGACGTGACACCCTGAGGTCAGACAACCTGAGACTGAGTCCACTCGCCAGTGATGGCGTTCATGACACTGCCTGCCTCCTAGGGAGCGGTGGGGACCTGCCAGAGAGACACACTTCATGCACTCCATACATCTGTGAAGTCCAAATTTAAGCTGTTGTCACCCTTCCTAACAGCCCTGCATAGCTCCCAAGTGCCCAGAGCAGAGAGTCTCAAAGTGCTGGGGACAAGGCAATGGGGGGAATGTCTCAAGAGAGCAGATGCGGAGAAAGATAATCTAGCAGAACCTCCGAGTGGCTTCGCTCCTCTCGTTATATGTCCTAGGGTTCTATGCAAGAGGTTTCCTTTGTTTTCTATTTTTTTTTGTAAAGCAGGGGAATCCTGCTAAAAGGGGTTAAAGCAAAGGCCCTGGTCCCATGCTGTCCCATGTGGCTGTGGAGCTTGGAACATGGCTTGTCCGAACAGAGGCACTGTCTGAGTGAGACATACACCCCATTTTGAAGAGCTAATACAAGAATATAAAATATCATAGGAATCATTTTACACTGGCTACAGTTTGAAATGATATTGAGAATATACTGAGTTAAATAAAATATAAAATCAATTTCACCTGCCTCCTTTTACCTTTCTTTAAAATGTGGCCACTGGGAAATTAATTTTTTTTTTTCAGTAGGTGCCCTAGCGGGAACCGACCCGGGACTGGTCCGCAGGCCGGTGCTCCAACGCGGAGCAAACAGGCCGGGGCTGAGAAATGAGCCTTGACTGCAGCGCTGTCCTCCCCAGGGCAGGAGCCACCCAGAGCAGCTGCTTCTGCACGCCAGGCCCTGCTTGTCCCTCGTTCCATGTGACAGCGCCGCCCAGTGAGGCAGGCGATGTTCTTGTCCATCTTACAGATGAGTAACTGAGGCCTGGAGAGCTGAAGTGACCGCCTCCGAGTCATTGAGCTCGTCAGCTACTCGGCTGAACCGGAGCTCAGCAGTCTGACCAAAGGCCGCATCCCCCCGCCTCACCCTCCCCAGGTAGCAAACGAGCCCCTTCCAAATGGGGCCCTTGCCCTTTTCCTGCCTCCCTCCAGGACCACTGAACCCCCTTTCCTCGGCCTGGAACGACATCGCCTCCCTCCTCCGGGTCTTGCAGACTCCTCCAGGATCACTGAACCCCCTCTCCTCGGCCTGGAACGACATCGCCTCCCTCCTCCGGGTCTTGCAGACTCCTTGACCACCCCCCTTTCTAAGTCCCCCAACACGGAGGTCTCAGCCCTCAAAGGCAGGCCAAACTCGGGACCCAGGCCTGGCGGCTTCCTAGCGCAGGGCTCGCCCACCCGGAACTGGGACGTCCCCTGCATGGCCCTCATTCCCGGGGGAGGAGCCCCTCGGCCACCCGAGGGGAAGCTGGCCACCACACCTCTGCGTGACGGAATTCGGCCTGTCCCAGGTACAAGGTGATATTTCACCTTAATGGGCACGTTCAAAAAGCCCTATCGCACTGCAGGCTGGGATCTGTCATTAAACACGGTGACTCTGACTCAGTGCAGGTGGGCGCTTCCCGCGAGCGCCCGGCCCCGCCCGGCCCACGGGCGACGTGGCCTCGGGCCCAGGGCTCGGCCCAGGTGGGATGGGGCAGCGGCCGCCCAGCTGGGCCCGCAGGAGCCCCGGGAGCCGCGGCGGGGCCGGGCCGGGCAGGAGCCGAGCGCTCCGGCCCACGTTCCGCTCCCCCGCTGCCTGCAGCCGCCCGGCCCGGCAGCCCGGCAGCCCGGCCTCCCGAGAGGGGGTGGAGGCCGCTCCTTCGCTCCCGGCAGGAATGAGTTAACGTCTGCGGCCTGGGAACCCGGGAGGCCGGCTCCGGCCGTCTGCCCGCCCCCGGAGCGCGCCCCCTGGCGGGAGATGCCGGAGCCGCCCGGCGGAGCGCCCTGCGCCGCGGGCCAGCCCGCCCTCCTGGCGCCCTGCGCGGCCCGGGCCGCTGCAAACTCCTCGGCGCCCTCGCCCGGTGCCCCGCCTCCGCGCCGCCGCTTCCTCGCTCCGCCCAGACTTTGCACCAGGGCAGCCCGCCCGGCACTGGACGTCCACCTGGGATCTCGGCGTCCCGGCCCGAAGGCACGGAAGGGCGCCCCGGGTACCCAGCACTGCGCTAGGCGCTTCGCTTCCTCCGGAACACGAGCTGCGCGCGGCGTCACGGCCATTGGCCACGCGAGGGAATTCCCGCCCAGGCCACGGAGCCTTTCGCCTTGGACGGCACCGCGCGCCCAACAGGGCAGGGCGGCTGATCCAGACCCCTGGGCCCGCCCACTCTGGCACTGCTGCTCTGTAAACACAGGCTGTGGGCTCTGCCCTCCCCAAGTCCAGCTCCCCTGCAAGGCCCTTCCCCACTCCGCGCCCCTGGGTCTCCCCTGCTCTCCAGCGACAGGGAGAAACCCGCCGGGGTCCCTCTGATCCTTATGAACAAGAAGAGGTCCCGAGTCCACACTTTGCTCCTCTGTTTAGCGTAGGGCGGCTGGGCCCACTGGCCCTCTCTGGCCTGACACAGAGAAGCCACCTCCCTGCCCCCTCAGACTGAGCGACCTCATTCTTTCCCAGATAAGACAGCAGCTTCCCCAGTGGTCAGTTACACCACATGTAAAAATGCACCTGGCCAGTGTGGCTCGTGGTTGAGCCTGGACCCTGCACCAAGAGGTCGCCAGTTCGATTCCTGGTCAGGGCACATGCCCAGATTGTGGGCCCGATCCCCAGTGGGGGGCATGCAGGAGGCGGCCAATCTATGTTCTCTCTCACTGATGTTTCTATCTCTGTCTCCCTCTCCCTCTATCGCAAAAATAAAATAAAAAAATATTTAAAAAAATTTTTAAATGGTGTATGTGCAATAATTTAGGGGTGGAGAATAGTTTGTATCACTACCGCAGGTGGAAGGTTTTTTTGGGGGGGGGGGGAAACATCGACATGAAAGGGACACATCGAGTGGCTGCCACCTGCATGACCCAACCAGGGCCGGGGACAAACTGCAACCGAAGTACGTGCCCTTAGCAGGAACCGAACCTGGGTCTCTCTGGACCGCAGGCCAACACTCCAACTGCTGAGCCAAACTGGCCAGGGCTGGAAGGTTGTTAATGCCTCCCATAAATTCAAGTTGGCTGTAAGAATAAATGTGTGAAATTATAGTGCTTTAAACAAAAAGCGTGTGCCCGCCTAACGTCCTGTCCGACCCCCCTGTGGAACCAGCACCAGGCTACCACTCTGGGCACCCTTGTGACCCGTTAGCCTGAGTGTTCGGCCACCAGAACATGCAGCTCACAGCCTTTCCCTCCCCACCCACGGTGCAGGTGGGGGACACTGGAGCCTCATCAGCATTCATTCCCTGATGTGTTCCTATTTACTGCCTTTGCGGAGCAGCTCCTTGGTGCAGACCTGAGCAAGTCTCTGGTGATACTGTGGACACAACCTGCCCTCCCGGAATTCAGAGTCTGAGTCCCCTGGGAAGGAGTGAATAAATGGTGATATTAGCCCACAGGCCTAGATGCCAGGAGCCCTCCTGTGGGCACATCCTATAGACCAGGGCACATGGGACCTTCTTCCAGCCTGGAAAACGCCTGCTAAAGACCCTGAGGCTCACTGAGCAGGAACAGGTCAGCCTGAGAATTGCCCGGGGGCTCTGGGGAGCAGGCCGAACTTTGGCTGGGAGAGGGGGGTCCTGGGGCTGAGCCCTCACCCCTAGACAGTGAGAAGAGTGGGAGCAGAGTGATAGAATTGAGAGCCAATGGGCTCAGCCCGTCAGGCCCCGCGCTGGCCACTCCGCTTTCCAAGCTCCAGAGCCCGGGCAGGCTGAGCAGCTTGCCCAGGGGCACACCGGGGGCAGCAGGCTGTCCGAAGTCTGGCATTTCTGGTATAGCTGCCCATCCTCAGGCTGGAGCCAGACCCAGACTCCTGGAGGGACAAGCTCCTCCCCCTAAACCCTCTTCCCTCTCCTTGCGCCTGAAAACCCCCAGCAGGAGCATCCTCTTCCTAAGAGCCAGAGGCTCCACCCCTGCCCGGCACTGCCCACCTGTCTCTCCAGAGCCAGGGGCAGGCTCTGTAGAATTCTGGCCCACAGCTGGGGGAAGGGGGCTGAACCTCATTAGCAGGGCCTCACTGACCACCAGCCTGTGGGAATGTGGCCTCGGAGCTGAGCCCTGGAGCCCATACCTGGTCTGACAGTCTCCCCTCCCACTGTCCTCTCACCTGGCTGGTAGACAGAAGGCCGAATGCTGGCAGTGGTGACGACCCGAGGCTTGGGCACAGGGGCAGCTGGGGCTTCGGTGTCTGCGTGGGCAGCAGGTGCCGGAGAGGTCGCCGTGGCGGCACCGGGAGCCTGTGGCCTGGAACCAAGGGGAAAGCGTAAGCAGCCAGGACAGCCGGGCCTTGCAGCCGCGGCAGGCTGGCTCTGCAGTCGTCCCTCCAGAGACTGTAGAGAAGAAACTGGACAGAGTGATGCGGGACAGCAGCCGAGGCTGTGAAGAGACCGCAAGCCTTAGGGGCGGGGCTGCTCCTTAGGTGCTGAGTCTTGGTGAGTTTAGTTAAAGCAGCAGAAACACCTGGAGAAACAGTCCATTGCTGGTGTCGCCGCCTTGGAGAGAGGGAGGAAGCCACCAGCTGGACAGGGGGACGCACAGAAACCCTTCACCCCCACGGGGAGAAACCACCAGGGTAGGTCTGGGGCTGGAAGGACAGAGGCAAGCGAGACGAAGGCAGTCAGAGCTGCCCACTCCCTCTACCCTCACAGCCTTCGACCCCTGGCCCCCCACTTCTCCTAATCCTAGAGGAAGCAGGAAAGTCTCAGGTTTCTGGGCAAAAGTGCTCCAGGGAGAGCTCATGGGAAGCCAGGAGTCCCCCTCACCCCAAACAGCTTCTCTTCCAGATGGGATTCTTGCCCTCTTCCTGCTGGGTCAGCCCCCAAGGAGGGACCGCTTTCTACTTGTGACCCAGCGATCATGGGACCAAAGAGCGGGGGAAAGTGTCCCAGGTCACTGCCCTCAGGAAATGCTGCACTTGGTCTCTCTTCTCGGACCTCAGAAGGCTCCAGGGGTTTCTGGGTGAAGCAGCACGTGGTCTGATCCACGCTTCCCAATTCCATTGGTCTGTGCACCCTGACCCCCTCTTCTCCTTTTCACTTAAAACTAGTGAACACCTTCCAGAACATGTCCCTTGTCTCTCCGTACATCTTCCAGATCCCAGCAGGGACCACGTGACCACACCCAGTGGAAACGGGGTGCTAGAGAAGTGAGCTCCTAGAAACGTACTGCCCCCTCCAGCCCACGCTGCCTGCCTCCCTTCCACCTGTTCTGAACGGGCCCAGGGCCTGCGCAGCATGCTGGCAGGGTCATGAGATAAGGGGCTACCTCCCCCTCTGTGCTCTGAAATGGGGGCCCTGAACTAAGAACCCACCGTCAAGGTCCCGAGTGGTGCCGCCCCAGACAGTGCAGAGGTGGGATGAGCCTCCGCGGCCGTCCTCCCAGACCGGGTGGTGAGTGGACTTGCCCTGCCACACTGCCAGGCTTCTGGCAGATTGTCTCCCCTCCCTGGGCCGGCCCGCCCTTCTCTGACCCAGCCGGTAAGAACAGTGGAGCAGGCGCCTCAACGGAAGAGGAAGAGGCAGTGTCCCTGGGGTGCCCTGCTTCCACTGCGGGGGGTGAGGGCTACGTCAGTGGGTCTTAGCCAGAATTCCTCTCCAGTGAAGGACCTGGCCCCAGCAGGTGCTCCGGTCCTGTGTCAGGGACTGCAGCCAGAATGCTGAGGCCATGCTCCAGTGAAAGTTTGGGGGGCCGTGTGCCACCCACTGCTCCCTCTGCCTCCATCCCAGCCCTCGTGCAAGGGCAGGTGGCTGGGCCCAGAGTGTGATCTCCTGACCTCTCCTGCTCCAGCCCAATGGGGGCAGCGCTCCAGTCCCTTCCCGACCAACCTCCACCAGGCCTCATTTCTCTTTGAAAGACAGAGTGAAGGAAAGGTCTGCCCTGCAGGGAGTCCTGCGGGCCCCAGGGCACAGAGGCCGGAGGGCGCCCAGCATGGGGAGCTCACCCCGCATCGAGAGCTCACCCAGCATCGAACTCGCCCATCCGAACCGGGAGGCATCTTTCTGCCCAGCGACAGGGACACGTCCTACCTCCCTCTACCTCTTCTCTGTGCCCTGACCGGAAGCAATCCTGCTGAGCAGAGAGGAGCAGTGCCCTTGGGAAGCTCGGCTAGAACAACCCCTAGCGGCCGGGGTACGCTCACCCTTGAGGCTTGAGTTGGGCCGAGGAAAGGCTGGGCTCCCCCTGGGTCACTGTACAGCCCCCCGGCCTGCAGGCTACTCTGCTCACCCTTTGGCCCTCAGGCGGCACCAGGGACCTTCGCACCAGGACTCAGAGGCACGTGCTTCCTGGCACAACCCCGGGAGGGGCGCACGGGAGACGGGATGGTTGGCTCTGACCCTGCCCCAAGCCGACAGTTCCATGCAGCCCGTGCAGAGCTGGGTCTCTGCCGCCTGGCACACTGCCAGCCTGGAGTGCCTCCCCGAACCTCCCACGCCCCTCATTCCCCGCCCCCCACCCCCCGGGTGTCCAGGAGGGCAGGCGGGAGAGCGGCAGATTGCAACACGAGACCACTGGATGTGCAGGTGGTTTGTGCACCTGTTCTATCCCTATAAAATCACGTGCACCCAACGCCTTAGCGGATGAGCAGACTGGGGCTCAGAGCAGTTCAGTCTCTGAAGGTGAGGAATGGGAAGCGCTGGGCAGATTGTAATCCCACTGCACCGGTGCCTCCGGGTGAGCACGCGTCTCCGTCAAGACAGCAGGGGCTAAGGGACAGGGCCAGCTCGTTGCTAAATGTCGGGCCTGCCTGTGTCTGGCCCCCTCACGGAGCCTTCCTGGGCTTCCCAGCCCAGGACACAGCTTCCATTCTCCAGATCCCAGTCCCGGAGACAGACGTGCACAGTCTCCGTCTGTCCTGCTGTGCGTGTGTGTGTGTGCACGTGTGTATGTGTGAGTGTGTGCATGTGGGTCTGTATAAATGTGTATGAGTGTGTGCATGCATGTATGTGCATGTGTGTGCATGCATGTGTATGCATGGGTGTGCATGTGTGTGTGCGTGTATGTGTGTGCATATCTGTGTGAGTGTGTGCGTGTGCATGCGTGTGTATGAGTGTGTATGTGCATGTGTGTGACTTTTCCTCCCTCCTTCAGGGAGAGAGCAGGGCAGCACACGAACCCCCTGTCTTCAGCCACACTGCTCACTCTCCACTCTCTGTGGCAGGCAGTGCCAGCCTTGGCCTCCCTGGGCCCTGGGCGCCTGACCATCTGCGATGGGCCTTCCTGAGGCCAGACAGCTGCTAGCAGAGGGACCCAGGGAGAGGCCTTTCCTGCCTCCCTTCCCCACAGCCAGGGCCGGTGCCTGTGGGCAGTTACCTGGGACTGTCCGCGGGGCTGGAAGCAGGGGCTGAGGCAGAGGTGGAGGCAGCGTGGGCAGCGGGTGCAGCCAGGGGAGGCGAGGCCGGGCTTGGAGAGGCGGCACTAGGCAGCTGGGCAGAAGCGGGCAGCAGCGGGGTGGTGGCCTGGCTGGTGCACACTGGAGCATGCTCAATAGGGGTGCTGATGAGGCGGGACCAAGAAAGACAACAGGTCAAGGGCCCTGCGCGGCAGTGGTGGCGGCTGCAGAGGCCCCTTGGGCGGAGGGCACCATTCGCACTGCACACAGAGCAGGATCTTCCGGAAGGCCTGTCCCCAGCTGCAGGGAACGAGCCCCCAAGACCCCAAGAGGACAGGGCTCAAGGAGGCTCGCGGTGACCTCAGAATTATTCTCAACCCTGGTAAGAAGACCCCATCTCTGTACTTCCTAGCTTTTCTGTCTGAGTATGTATCACAAAAACAGTTGGTGGAAGAGTAGATGGATCAACCCCCACCCGTGTCCCTTTGTCTTCTCCCTTCCCCACTTAGCCAGAGGCACACATTGCGTTGACCCAGCAGAGGCCAGATGTGTGGGGGCCCAGGGCTTGCTGAGAACTGGGTCCGGCTGGAGGGACTCAGGATGACAACACATTCGGGGGATGGACGAAAGCCACCACGCCAGGCAGCTCGTGGTAATCCGGACCAGAAAGGGACGACACAGCGTGAGGGATCTGGGAACAGAGGCGGCTGTGTCCCTTTCCCGGGGAGACCCTAGACAGGTGGCAGGACCCAGGGTCTCCTACGCTCATGGTGGAGGGGCAGACAGATCCAGGACAGCCCGGAGGTCCCCAGCTCTCATATGCCCCCGCAGCCGCAGACGGTTTCCCTCGCCCCCGAGGGTGACAAGGACACAGCCCCGAGGGCCTGCCCGTCTGAGAGATGCCGTCACGGGAACGAGAGGCGACCGCTGCGCAGTGTAGACCAGTGTGGCCAGGCAGGGTGGGGACATCCCCGCAGATGCCCGCACAGGTAGCCCGCGACCAAGGACCAGGTGCCCAGGTGCCCAGGTGCCCCACCCGCCTGCCCTGCTCTTCAGCAAGCACCCCAAGGCAAGCGAGGGGCATCAGAGCCCGGGTCGATGGGGTTAGATTTCTGCCACCTGTCAGATCGGGCAGAGAATACAAATTAAATGAGAGAAAAGCAAGGAGATGTCCATCGCTGCTCATCTGGGTCGTGGCACTGAGGTCGGTACTGACCGCAAGGCCTGCAGGCAGGAACGGTGGCCCAGGCTGTGGCATTCGCTTACGGACCTGGTGCTGCGTGCTGCGCATGCGGACCTGTCCAATGTGCCGCGCATGCGGACCTGTTATAGTGTGCCGCGCATGCGGGCCTGTCCAATGTGCCGCGCATGCGGACCTGGTGCCGTGTGCCGCGCATGCGGACCTGTCCAATGTGCCGCGCATGCGGACCTGGTGCCGTGTGCCGCGCATGCGGGCCTGTCCAATGTGCCGCGCATGCGGACCTGGTGCCGTGTGCCGCGCATGCGGACCTGTCCAAAGTGCTGCGCATGCGGACCTGGTGCCGCGTGCCGCATATGCAGATGTTATAGCGTGCCGCACATGCGGACCTGTCTAATGTGCTGCGCATGCGGACCTGGTGCCATGTGCCACGCATGCGGACCTGTTATCGCAGGCGAACCTGTACAATGCGCCGCGCATGCGGACCTGTCCAATGTGCCGCGCATGCGTCTGTCGCTCCACAGAACCATTGCTGTGGATGTTAGCAGCTGTGCGTGATAGATGCGGGGGTGCGGACAGAGAATGCACTTGCTCACCCTCCCAGAATGCACGGGGAGTGACAGAGGACCTGCCTGGGGACGTCGGGGTTTGCACCTTGCCCGGTACCAAGTGGGCCCTCATGGAAGAAGAAAGAAACGTCTTCTCATTTCCCCAACA